ATTTTCTCTGAATGATTGATTAATAGTATTACTCCTTCGATTCTATTGCATTTAATAGGTCCTGCATGGATAGATGGCAAATGAATGGGCTGCTGATAAATCTCATTCACAAATGGAAATTCTGATCAGTGTAATCATATCACGTTCACCTAAATTGTATTCTGTTCTGAAGCATCTGATAAAAAGTTTAAAATTTTGCCCCCAGACTTGAAAACGTTATGTTTGAGACGACGATGACTTTTCTGCTTTATTGAGTTCCTCTTCCTTAACCGAAAATTTATTGCAGTGTTATTTACTTGTACTGTATTTTGCAAAGAAAACATTTCGGGAATCAGTTTGCTTAAAGCAGTTCAGTAGTGCTCTGTACGGAAAGTTGAAGTTTTCAAAATGATTCTTTTAGTATCGTCTCATAGAATGCAATGAGAATAATGGTGAAGATAATGATTCGCAATTAATATTTCAGGTTAGTAAAACAGGCGCCGAAGGGCAGGTGTTAGAGGAGGCGAAAAACATCAACAAATCATTATCAGCGCTTGGAAATGTGATCGCTGCACTTGCTGAAGGCACTGTAAGTATTCTTTCACTGAAAGGATTCATTCATTTCAGCAAAATTAAAACGAAATCACTTAGAACATCTGTTCTATTCTGCTAAGCTGTATTCTGCTACTCTTTCTACCGAATTGGATCTTAATAGCACGCAGTGTTGTTTGGTTATTTCTGTGGAGAAGTTGATTGATTTCAAAATTTTCGCTTTTTAACGGAGATTTTAATGTGTACATTTGGAAATGTAATCAATGGAAAAGAATCAGTTTTCTAAGGCAGACCATTTGATGAGTACAACTGAAAGAGGATAGATAATCATAGAAATTTTCAAATAGCATTTCACTGAATAGTTCATTTCTAATAATGGTACTAATATTGACTAAGTGAATATAATGAATGGAAAAGAGGTGAAGCTTGGAAGAAGGAAGCAGTTAATTATGATGACTGGAGTGATCTTGAAGAGACTTATATGAAATTTTGGAATAATTTGTTATATGAATGAATAATTTGATAAAATAAATAAATAACTGTCAGTAAATGGATTAGTTGAATTGTGTGTAATGTTTAAGAAAAGTCATGTGCCGTATCGAGACAGCAAATTGACACGAATTCTTCAAGAGTCATTAGGTGGTAATTCACGAACAACCATCGTTATCTGTTGCTCACCTGCGTCGTCAAATGAAGCCGAAACGAAGAGTACACTCATGTTTGGCCAGCGGTAAGTATTTATTGGTTACAGTGCGATTTTTGATTACCGTTTAGAGATAGATGCATCAGGTGATTTGATGGGATGTATTACATTTCATCGCATATGAAACTCGTATCGTAACAGTATTGACAGCAATGACATCAAATCAAATTTGCTCTCGTATTGTGTCAAGCATTTAAATCATTTAATCACTTCTAATAGGGATGCTTTTTATCAGTATCAAGATAATCGGATTGCGACTCACTAAGTGTTTTAATCGTCGAGAAATCTTCGAAGTGATAAGTGGTCATATGAGCGATTTCCAATATGATTGTTTTTAAGAGCGAAAACGATCAAGAACGTTGTCGTTGTGAACGAAGAATTGACGGCAGAAGAATGGAAACGACGTTATGAACGCGAAAAAGATAAAGTTTGTTTTGAGTCTAATATTGTGATTTGTTCTTATTTCATAGCAATTCTAAGAGTGATACTTCAATGTGGGATCGCATTGGGAAATGTAAAAAACGAAGTGAATGGCTGAGTTGAATTCGTTGTGATCTAAACGTGAAGATTCATTTCTTTCTGAATTGATTTCAACTCCCGGAAAAGGCGATAAATTCTGCCAGTAAACAAAACAGTTATCAAACAAAACATGCGGCACCACTGCTAATTCATTGTCTTCTTGTTTATCTCAATAGCATTCACAGTCGTTCATCGAATGCTCTCATTAA